TTCATGCAATATAACTTTTAAGATGAGCTTGACACTCGCTTGATAGGTAAGGAATGGAAAACGGTAGCTCATCTGGGGACGTATGTCCTCTGATTCCTTGCTCATATGTCAGATGTACAGAAATTTAAGTGGTGCAGTGGCTAGCACTGGCCCAGAACAAATGACTCGCATCCATGAAGCTTTGCTTAGTTCTAAAGTGAAGGCTACAGAGTATTGTTTTGTGGGTGTGGGGTGTAGCTCAGTGGGAAAGCATGTATTTAGTCTGTCTGAAGCATGGGTTCAGCCATAAGTACTAAAAGGGTTTTGGTCTTTTTATTTATAAACATCAACGTCTTCCCCTTTATTTAAATCATCTTTAATTTCTTCAGTATATAATTTCAGAGTATAAGTTTTATAATTTGTTACGTGTATCTATTAAAATGTTAACTTTTCTTTTGTGTACTATTACAAATGGAAAAATTTTAGTTTACTTTTGTTCTTTGTTACATATAGGAATGCAAATTATTTTGATGCTTCTTATTTTTATCCTGCAAGATTATTGAGTTAATTTATTAATTCAAACAGTGATTTTTGGGATTTTCTTTAAGATTTTCTATATAAAACAGCATCTGTAAATATATATAATTTTATTTCTTCCCTTATCTGAGGAATTTTGATTTCAATCTTACTTTATTGCCCTGTTTAGACTCTCCAGTAAAATCATAAGTAGAACAAATTGGCATATTCTTGATCTTTGAGGGGAAACAGCTTTTCACAATTAATTAATTAGTCAATTAATTTCACCATTTACTGATAATATCAGGTACATATTGTTGTGGCGGCCATACAGAAGGTTAAAGAAATTCCTTGTATTTCAAATCAGTTGTGTATTTTTTTCTTTTTTTTTAATTTAAATTAGAAACATACATGCTTCAAATGTCAATCCCAGCTCCCCGTTTCTCCCTCCCAGCCCCCCCCCCCCCACTCCCAGCCCAATCCCCACATCTTTCCCCAGGGAGGGTGAGGCCCTCCTTGGGGGGGATCTTCAGAGTCTGTCATTTCATCCAGGGCAGGACCTAGGTTCTTCCCCATGTGTCCAGGCTGAGAGAGCATCCCTCCATGTGGAATGGGCTCCTAAGTTCATTTGTATGCCATGGTGAACACTAATCTACTACCCAAGGCCCCAGAGATTTCTGAGGCCTCCTCACTGACACTACATTCATGGAGTTAGCCATCAGTCTGGGGTTCAAGAGCTCCCCTTGTCCAATCAGCTGCCTTTGTGGGTTTCACCGGTACAGTCTTAACCCCTTTGCTCATCACTCCTCCTCCATCTCTGTCACTGGGTTCCTGCAGGTCAGATCAGTGTTTAGCTGTGAGTATCTATCTCTGCTTCCATCAGTCACTGGATGAAGGTTCTAGGATGTCATATAAGGAAGTCATCAACCTTATCATTAGGTAGGGGCTATTAATGTAGTCTCTCTGCTATTATTAGTTTTCCAGTTGGTGTTATCTTTGTAGATCTCTGGAAATCTCACTGGTGTCAGCTCTCTCCTCAAAGCTATAATGACTCCAATTATTATGGTATCTCTCATCCTGGTCTCCTCTATTCTTACCCCGACTCAACCTTCCTGTTCCCCCATGTCTTCTTCTACCCTCTCTTAAAAGACAAACATGGTATGTACTCACTCATATATGGATTTTAGACATGGATCAGGGGAGTGTCAGCCTACAATCCCAAGGCCAGTGAGTCTGGGAAATAGGGAGGTTCCCAAGAGATATGCAAATATACCCCAGGGAAGTGGAAAGAGGCAAGATCTCCTGAGCAGATTGGGAACATGGGGGGATAGGAGAGGGAACCAGGAAAAAACCAGTTGTGTATTTTTATCTTCAGGGATGTTACATTTTATGCTGTGTTTTTTATCTGTTAAAATTTTTTGTCCTTTATTCATATGATATATTACAATGATTGATTTTAACATATTAAACCATCTTTGCATTCTTGGATTCAGTCACAGTTGCCAAGGTATGTTTACTCTTGAAGTGTAGTACTTCGTTTGTTTGTTGATATCTTGTTGAAGGATTTTGGGTTCATTTTTTACGATTGTACAATTTCTTTCTCATAAAGGTTCATCTGGCTTTAGTCGTAAGGTAACACTGGTCTTATCCTAGGGAAGTATTCTCTTATCTTCTATTTTTTTCCCATGTGTTTGTTAAAGATTGGTGTTCACTATGTTTTAAATGCTTGAGAATTAGCTAGTGAAGCCAGCATTGCAAGTGTCATTAGAGCTTTTTGTTGCTGGAAGTTCTAAAACAATCAAGTCAATCTTTTCTCAACCATAGGCTTCAGATGATCAATTTTCAGACAGCTTTGTGAGATTAGTCTCCCCTTAGTACTTGTTTTTAGATAATTTGTTGCCATATGGTTCACAATATTTCCATGTTATTCCTTTCTATTCTTTAGGTCAACAGTATCCTTCTTTATTCTTGGCTTTTTAGTAGTAAGATTTTTCTTTTCTTTTTTCTTTTTTCTTTTTTTTTTTTTTTTGCCATTGTTATTTTGACAAAGACTCTTACTGTGTAGCCCAGATGGTCTCAACTGCTCCCTGTGTTTCTGAGTTCTGGGATTACAGACTCACGCTGGTGCTTAGGTCTTTTTCATAGATCCGTTGACACAAATGTTGCCAATTTCTTTGATCTTTTCAAAGTATCAACTTTTGGTTTTTGATAGTTTTTTACCTTAAAAGAAATTCTCAGATGAAGAGAGTAGAGGCAAGCAAACTTCCTTCTTATGTTCTTTGAACATGGTGCCATATCATATTCTGATTTGAACCATTTCCAGTAAGAATAATCTATGACTTTAGTCCTTTCTCACTTCTCTTTGGTGTTCTATGTAAAGTGTGAGGATCTCCCTCCCCAGTGGGTACTCACTAATTATCCTGGACTGTGATTGACTGGTCCAGCAGGTAATCACTGATTATCCTGGACTGTGATTGACTGGTCTCCGTCCCCAGTGGGTACTCACTAATTATCCTGGACTGTGATTGGCTGGTCTCTGTCCCCAGTGAGTACTCACTATTTATCCTGGATTTTGATTGCTTTTCTTTCAAGAATTTTGGAAAATCCTAAACTACTTCATTTGATTCCTTCATGTAAAGTTTCTGCCTATGGAAATTCTTCATTTGTTCATGAATGTTCCATGAATGTTCAACACCTTATTCATAATTAACCTATTAATTATTTTCGTATTTGTGTTTTGCCTGTATGTATGTCTGTGCACCACATGCATGTCTGGGCCAAAAGGTGTTGAATCTTCTGGAAATGAAGTTACAGGCAGTTGTGAGCCATTGTGAGGGTGCTAAGAACTTAATCTGGTGTTTTTAGCTGCTGAACCATCTTTCCAGCCCCTAAGGTTCTCTGACAGTTCTAACATCTGGGACATTTCTGGTTCTGTTCTGTTGTTTGTTTTAGTTTTTGACTGGGAGTCTTTGATAGTGGCCCTCATCCTGTCCTTTCACTTATTTCACCCACCAGCTTTCCTTCCGGTCGGCTACTGGGTAGAGTTTTGAAGCCTGTGTGGGCAGTAGTTGGTCTAGGTATTAGCTTGGGGATTTGTTTTTGTTTGTTAATGACACTAAATGACAGTTTTCTGGTGGCTTCTACCACCATGTGCTTAGTGTAAAATTTAGAGTACTGGAGGGTTTTTCATGATACTTGAGTGTAACGTGTATTCTTCCTGCCTGCCGCCTGGGTCGTGTTGCCTCTTTAAGCCCCCAAATAACATACAAGACACTATATTAATTATGAGCTGTTGGTCGTTTTCTTACTGGCTAGCTCTGACTTAAGTATTTAACCCATAATTGCTAATCTGAGCATTTCCATGTGGTCTTCACTTACCGGAGGAAAGGTCCACATGTTGCTTCTCCTGCATCCTACATTGTGACTGCCTGTGCCTCTCTTTCCCAGAATCCTTCTCGACTCCTAGTCCCACCTATCTTGCTTTTCTATTGGCCAACAGTGCTTTATTCAACAACCAATAAGATAAGCACATACACAGGACTTCCCTCATCACTTGAGTTTTTCTCTGCCTTTAGCACTTGTATCTGCACTGTAACCAGATCTCTCGCTGGTCTTGGTAGATTTCTATTGCCATGTCACAGGGTTGGTGAAGACATGGTGGTGAGTTCTCCTGTAGCTTTAGACTCAGGCAGTCCTGGTATAATGAGTAGTATCAGAATTCATGTGTTTGTTCTGCCTCTTTTTAAATTTCTTTTAAATAAAGAAGGGAGGTTTGTTAAACTCGTGGTTCTAGAGGCTGTGAAGTCCTATATGGAGGTTCTAGCATCTGGTGGAAGGGCCTTCTAGGTGTATCATAGTGTATCATCATATGGAAAGGGCATCACAGGGTGAGACAATGCTGGTGTCATAGGAAGGGTCCTTATCCTGTCTTCCTCCACAACCCACAGCCAACAGCTGGGAGCATGACAATAATTAATAGCAGACTTGGGGCTGAAGAGATGACTTGCAGAGGACCAGTTACCAGCATCTATGTTGTAGCTCACGTGTGTCTGTAATTCTGGACCTAGGGATCTGACACTCTCTTTTGGCCTTGATGGCCCTCAGGCACATGTGGTTCACACACGCACATGCAGGCAGTCATGTACATAAAACAAATAAATCCTAAAATACAGTGGTTATAGCAGACTTCTTTGCCTGTCCTCCAGCAGCAGCGTTTTTTCCAGCCTTCTTATCTTAATAGCTGTTGGCCTTTGTTTGACCAGACAGAGAGCAATTTCTATCCTGCAGCACATGACTGATTTTTGTTTGTTTGTTTTGCTGGTGGTGGTTTTTGTTTGTTTGTTTTTACCATTTTTAGGCACTAGACTATAAGTGGACAGGATCTTCCATGTGCCATATTTCAGTGCTGCCTTAGAAGGTAATTCCAGATGACCTTTAGTTTTTAGGGAGAGTATTTTACCATTTGCTTTGTATTATAATGTACTGTTATGTTTGTTCTTTTTCAGCCTAGGCTTGATCTCCGACTCTTTCCACATGTTTTTTGACAGTACTGCCATATTGGCCGGATTGGCAGCTTCTGTTATTTCAAAATGGAGAGATAATGATGCTTTCTCTTATGGGTAAGACTTTAAAATACTTTTCTTGAACTACAAGATACACAGAAAAATATACAGCTCTTAAGGCCATGAGATTTTATAAGTTAAGTTTGCTTGTGTGATTTGAATTCTTATAGTCCTTACTCATCTCCCTCAGGGTTGCACTTTAACTTCCTGGATTAAATATGTCTGCTTTATATAGTAGAAGGAAAGGAACAGGAAAAGTGATATAATTATACTCGCAAAATAAAAAAAAATTTAAGTATATAATCAGAATCTGTAAAGTAACTTTATTCATATACAGAATCTTTTGTTTGGCGGATAATCCCTTAGCTTTACCAAAAATTTAGGAGTTGCTATATAAGGATTTTCTCATAGCCTATTTTTCGACAAAGAAAGTCATATAAAACTGATCATATTTTTTTCTTTCTTTTTTTTAAACTGGAAATACTTTGCTATTATGTATTTAAAATTATTTCACAACACGGTCTTATTTATCTTTTTAGTTTTCTTATGTACAGTGATTGGTACACTGAGCCACGTGCTATGCAGGGACCTTTGGTGACTCAGATTAGAAGCAGAATTGGGCTCCCCATGGGCTTGGGAAGCAGTGGAGTTTTCATTATTTGGTTTAAGCTCCTGGTTTCCTGCTTTGAGCTGACAGAACACTTGTTGGAATAACTGTGCTCATACGTAAGCAGAGATGAGGACTGCTGTCCTTTCCGCCTTTCTTGTGCATCTTGGTTCCTTCCTTGTTTCCCCTGCTTCTTCTCTTAGTGCCCTCTCACCTGCACCCTGCAGCTGCACTTCCTCTTCCTCCTGCTCCTGCTCTCCTCTCCTGCCTCTCCTCTGCTCCTCCCTCCCTCCCGCCTGTCTCTTCCTCACTTTTGCTGACACCTCATACCATATGATCCTGCTCACCTCTCCTGACTCTCTCTGCCCCTACCCTCTCCTCCCTCTCAGCTGGTTTCCTCCACACCTTTTCCGCCTGTGTTTGCCCTTGCACGCTGCTTTTGCCCTGACTAGTTGATGCACAGGCGTGCTTAGGCAGTTCTCTTTTCACAGACTACACGTTTTAATTGTAAGACGCACTCTGTTCAGGGAAACATAATCGGCTATGATCATTTGTCTAGTTTTCTTCATTTTAAACCTACAAGCAGGCCCAGTAATAAACTAACCATAACCCAGCATTTTATCAGAATGCATGAAACATATTTACCGAGCTAGAAATTAGGAACCCAAAGATCCCTAAAAACTTTCTTGCCTTTGATCTTGAAGGTCAGTGCGCTAAGCATAAAAGGCTTTCTGTCAAGCATTAGCTATGGGACTAGAGGGAGAGATTAAAAGAAAATGATTTCTGTTTTGAACAATAATCCTGCTGATTTAGTAGATAATCCCTTTTAGGTGTAAATTATAGAAAATTGGCTGTGTATTTCTTGAGTTTAGTAAACTTTTCTCCAAAAAAGTACATGCTTTGACAAAAAATGCATGCATTTAATTTACTTATATATATTTGAAAATAGAGTGTAAAATTCCTATTCTGTTAGATCTGCTTGATAGGATGAACACAAACATAACTGGACAGAGGACCCGTAAAGAGTTTGTTCAGCCTGGCATGGTTGCACATGATTGTAACCCCAGAACCTGGAAATAATTTCAAGCCCTCATAGACTCAGTAGTGAGTTCCAGGGTATTCTCAAAGGGTCTCTACATAACCAGAAAAGAAAATGTCCTCTTTACCTAAAAAATGTTTTTATAACAAAAATTGTGTTTAGCAGTTGACTTAGAAAGCTAGCAAAAGCATTTTTCTTTTTTATATTAAAATAAGTTGTTTATTTTATTACATATTTTAAGTTTTCTTGCATGCATACAAATTGTGTTTTCCTAGAATTTTAACAATCTGGCTTTTAAAATTTTTTCTTTTTTTTTAATTTAAATTAGAAACAATCTTATTTTACATGTCAATCCCAGTTCCCTCTCTCTCCCCTCCTTCCTTGCCCCCCCCACCAATCCCTTATGCCATCCCCTTTCTGCTCCCCAGGGAAGGTGAGGCCTTCCATGGGTGATCTTCAAAGTCTGTCATATCATTTGGAGCAAGGGCTAGGCTGAGAGAGTATCCTTCTATGTGGAATGGGCTCCCAAAGTCCATTCATATACTAGGGATAAGTACTGATCCACCACCAGAGGCCCCATACATTGCCCAGGCCTCCTAACTGACAACTATATTCAGGGTGTTTGGGTTGGTCCTATGCTGGTTTCCTAGCTATCAGTCTGGGGTCCATGAGTTCTCCCTTGTTCAGATGAGCTGTTTCTGTGGGTTTCTCTAGTCTAGTCTTGACCCCTTTGCTCATCACTGCTCCCTCTCTACAACTGAATTCCAGGAGTTCTGCTCAGAGTTTAGCTGTGGTTGTCTGCTTCTGCTTCCATCAGCTACTAGATGTTTGTCTTTTTTGTGACTGGGTTGCATCACTCAGGAGAGTTTCTTCTAGTTCCATCCATTTGCCCTACGAATTTCAAGATTCCATTGTTTTTTTTTTTTCTGCTGAGTAGTACTCCATTGTGTCAATATACCACATTTTTTTTATCCGTTCTTCAGTTGAAGGGCATCAACAAATGGTGCTGTAGAAGACTGCAGATAGATCCATATCTATCACTATGCACAAAACTTAAGTCCAAATGTATCAAAGACCTCAATATAAATCCAGCCACACTGAACCTCTTAGAAGAGAAAGTGGGGGGTGCCTTTGAATAAATTGGTACAGGAGACTGCTTCCTGAACATAACACCAGTAGCACAGACCTTGAGATGGACAATTAATAAATGGGACCTCCTGAAACTGAGAAGCTTCTGTAAGGCAAAGGACACAGTCAACAAGACAAAACAGCAGCCCACAGAATGGGAAAAGTTATTTACTAACCCCACATCTGACAGAGGGGTGATTTCCAAAATATACAAAGAACTCAAGAAGCTAGTCACCAAAACACCAAATAATCCAATTAAAAAGTGGGGTACAGAACTAAATAGAAAATTCTCAATAGAGGAATCTAAAATGGCTGGAGGACACTTAAGAAAGTGCCCAACATCCTTAGCCATCAGGGAAATGCAAATCAAAACAACTCTGAGATACCATCTCACTCCTGTCAGAATGGCTAAAATCAAAAACACCAACAACAATTTATCCTGGAGAAGATGTAGAGAAAGGGGAATACTCTTCCACTGCTGGTGCAAACTCATACAGCTACTTTGGAAATCAGTATGGAAATTCCTCAGGAAAATGGGAATCAGTCTACCACAAGATCCAGCAATTCCACTCTTAGGCATATACCCAAAAGATACACATTCACACAAGGACATCTGTTCAACTATGTTCATTGCAGCATTATTTGTAATAGCCAGAATTGAAGAAGCATTTTTTCTTAAAGACAGGCTCCATACATAGTCTGAGTTGGTCTAGAACTTATAACCCTCCTGGTGCAGCCACTGCGCTTGCATTGCAGGTCCATGCCACCACATGGTGTCCCAGAGCAGTTCTCATGCTTTGCAGTGTTGATGAAGGCCTAGCTGGTATGAACACACCTTGAGCGAAAATTTGTTTCCGTGCCTTCAGGCCAAATGTGCCTTATAGAAAAACGAGATCTCTTCTGCAGCGCTTCACCTAAGTAGGAAGCAGAAAACTTTGGAAGCTCAGAGACAAGGGACAGGCATTTAAAAGTGGTTTTATATAATGATATGAAGATAGAGTTAATTCTAAAAATAAGTAACTGAAAGTTTAGACTGAGTATATTAGTTTAGAAAAAGTAGTAAACACAATCTCAGGGTGTCTCTGATGTAATGTGGGAATAATTTAACTTTACTTGAGATCAGAGCTCCACTTCCTAAGGATTTCATAGCCATGAGGTACAAAGTGAGTTCTCAGGATAGGAGAATAACTACAGTAAAACCTGATTTCCTAGACATTGTCTCTTACTTTCTTTGGACCCTTCCTTCTTTGTCCGCCTGCCTGCTCTTGTCCTCTCTACAGTGGCAACTTAAAATTTGCATCTCTGTGACTTTCTAAGCCCACTGTGTGTGTTTTGTGGCATTTGCTATCAAATATAATTTGTAGTAAATTAACTTCCTAATCTGTCTTACAGTATTATATAAGATGTATTCTGTAAATATGAAGACTTTGCTGGCACTTAAAAATCATGTAACATAGTTTACAGTCTCTGAAACATACATTCATTTGGATTTTAAGAAGTATAATTCACTGTTTACCTTGCTCTTCTTTAGGTATGTTAGAGCGGAAGTTCTGGCTGGCTTTGTCAATGGGCTATTTTTGATCTTCACGGCTTTCTTTATTTTCTCAGAAGGAGTTGAGGTATAGTAGATAATAATGAGAGTCAGGAAATGACTTTCAATAAAAATGTTTTAAAGATGTAACAGTAATAAAAATCTTTTCAACTATCATTGAGAGAAAATATATGGGTATATGAGGACTTATGAAATAGTGAAAAAATTATGTATGAAATATCTCGATGGAAAACAATGGAATGACAGTGCTCTGTAAACTGTGAATGAGGTCCTGCCACTGAGAAGTAGAGGTGCAGTCTGAGTAATGAGATCCTTTGGGGATTGTCTTCAAAACACCTAGAACCTGATAGTTTCGTTGTTGAACATTTAATACTTGGTGTACATTTCCTAAAAGTAGAAGGAAAATGGGAGGATTAGTAAACTTACAGAGAGCAAGAAGAACAGGTTTGCAACCAAATATCATCACACATATTTACATTTATTTAAAGACGGTAATTGTTACTTTTTCAACAGTATGTGAATACTGGCTTTAGCTGTCTCAATTTGGACAGGTAGTTTTGAGCACTTTTACTTGTGAAAATGACTAAAAGTTTTAATATCGCACTAAAATGTCAGCAGTTTCAATCAAGAACCGTATCAATGCCATCCCTTTGTATTGTGTGTTTTCAGAGAGCGTTGGCTCCCCCAGATGTGCACCATGAGAGACTCCTGCTTGTCTCAGTTCTTGGATTTGTGGTAAACCTAGTGGGAATATTTGTTTTCAATCACGGAGGTCATGGACATTCTCATGGCTCTGGTATGATGGTTAGAACTATTTGTTTCTTCATTTTGTTGACATTTATTTGGTGTGTGTGTGTGTGTGCGCGCGCGCGCGTGCACCCACACTCGTGTGCACCCAGGCATGTGGAGGTCAGAGGACAATCAGAGAGCTGGTTTTCTCTGCCCCCCGAGTTCTTGGGGTTTAATTCAGGACTTCAGTCTTGGGGGCAGATATCCTTGTAAGTCCCCCTTGTTTTCTTCTTTTTAATATTTTGCGTGTTTCTGTCATTAAATACTTTAGAAAATTAATAATTTTAAAGTTGTAAGAGGGTGATGTCTAGATACTCAGAAATGTCTTCCTGACCCAGCCCTTGTACTTCTCCATAGCTCTCTCCCAATGCTGTTCAGAGCTAAGCACATTACCATACTGGTATGGACTTCTCCAGACTCATGTAGTACACCTGCTTTATGTACTATTTAATTAATATTAAAAAACAGGTATCAGAAAACCATAAATCCAGTAACTAAAACAAATTGTGTGTGCTTATAAGTTACTGTGTAATGCATTTTAAAGATCTTTCCATTTATAGATGTTGGTCTACTACCTTGCATTTTTATTGATTTATGAAATCACTTTCTTATAATGAACTCATAGAAAACTCCATGGTATGAAGCCAGGCCTGGTGGTGCATGTCTGCTACAATCCCAGCACTTGGGAGACAGGCAGGAGGATTAATGCTAGCTTCAGCCTTACCTGTTCTACATAGTGAATTCCAAGCTGTCTAGGGCACATAGTAAGGCCCTGTCTCAACCACAAAGCTAAATGAAAGCCAAACAAACCAAACAAAAACACAACAAAAAACAAGAGGGAACAAGGAAACATTTGAACCTGCCATGTTGTATAGGTCTGACCTAGACCATTTCCATCACTACAGATAGTTCTTTTAATTCAGTGTGTTAATGTAGAAGTAGGATTCATAAAACATAGTATATATACCTTTTTAATAGATATACTTTTTTTCAAGTTGCCTTCCACAGTGACTGTTTGTTATATCCAGAAATAAATGTATTCGTTTTCTCCCCAGACTACATCAACCTTTAACATTACAGATTAAACCTGCTTTATAGCCCTTGCTAGCCTTTTAATTGCGGCCCTCCTGCCTCTGCCTCCTGAGTGCTTAATTGTAGGCATGAGCCCACAACCTGGCTTTATAATTTCTATGCTGTTATTGTTGTTGACTTACTGAATCTTTAGACCTGGTTCTTTGTGCTCATTGAGTATGTTTATAGTAGCGGGTTAAAGTCCATCTCTGGGCCTCTTTACAAGTGTCTTCAGTTAGCGGCTCTTTGTGAGTGGCTCAAGTTTCCATACGCTTGCTAGGCTCATTCCTTCATGAGAGTTGGACACTTTAGGTCACTTGTTTTAAAAACTCTGGTATCAGATTGTGTCTCCCCTTTAAAGTTTGTTGTTTCTGATGTTTTGTTCATGTGTTACTTTTCTTTTGAGTCTTTTTGGATTGAATGACAAATCATGTGTTTCTTGTAGGATGTGGCCATTGAGTGGTCTGGTAGTTTTTACTTTAGGATCTTCCTTTTGTTTTATCCTGTCTGACCAGTGTCACACTTAGACTGGAATGGCTTAGTAGTCACCCAGAGTTTAGTCAGTTTCCTTAAGTGACTTCTTATAAATCTCCTTCTTTTGGCAAAGAGATCTTTGTGAGGAAGTACATCTTCCAACTCTGCTTCACAGTTACCAGAGAACCCAAACTTTTACCTTCTGCTAGCTTAGAAGTGTCATTCATGAAAGATGAATGACAGTTTGTTCTTTTTCAGATCTTCTTAGGCATGTACATAGCCTGTGATTCCCAGCAGTGTGTTGCCATTTTGCAGAGTTCCTTGTGGAATATGCCTGTCTGAGGTTTCCTGAAGTTCTCAGAACTCTAGTGTCAGCAACTGACTGACTGCTGGGAATTCCCCACTGTTGCCTTAGTGCCTGCTGAGCTCTCAGCCTAGGAGCCTCACTAGGAGACTAGAGACAGGACCAGTGAGTTGCACGGATGGACAAAAACTGGCTAACCAGAAGGTGGTGCTGTAACAGCGCACCAAAAGCAACCACATCTCATCTCATCTCGCTGCTATCTACAGCTTGGTGGCTTTAAGTTATTTATTTTGCTCCTCAGCTGGGAAGGAAAGACTGCGTTCCTTACAAGGCCTAGTAACTGCTATAGATGAGGACCTGTGTATTCTGTGGTTCTTATTGGTTGGCCAGAGCTCTAACATGGTTGCTTTATTGCTGTTTTTTCTATATTCTTGTGACTTAGGAGAGGGCTAAGATCTAGAATGCAGGGTCTCCTGGAGATCCTGCATGATTTGCGTTTTCTGGCCTTCAGAGCTTATTCCTGGGAATCGGTGGTAGAACTCAGGATTGTTTGAGTACATTGGTGGTATTTATTAGAAGCAAGTGTTTCCTGATTGAATCTGGAGACAGGATTCTTCTAACTAGTGTTATTGTAATCAGTTATGTATTTTTACATATCTCCTGTTCTAATATTGTTTGTTTTCTAGACCATGGACACAGTCACTCCCTTTTTAATGGTGCTCTAGATCACACCCATGGCCACGAAGATCATTGCCATAGTCACGAAGCCAAACATGGAGATGCACACGGCCATGGTCATGCTCATGGACATGGGCACTTCCATTCTCACGGTGAGTGCAGCCAAACAAAGCACCTGCAGAGGGCTAGCCTTCCAAAGCAACATGTATGAGGTGACTTTCCTAGCTGGAATGGTCTGTTGAAACAACACTTAGCCTCTAGTGAGTCTGTCTAAATGGTTTCCAGTGTTAGTTTCTTTTTATTGTACTGTAACATGAAGGCAAGGCAGTGATAGTGTATGTTATAGAAATACTAGAGATTTTTCAATTTCTATTATAACTGTTTATGTTAACTGCCTAATATTCCTTGTTCTTTCAGAAATCTTTATGTAATAATAATAGATAATAAGTTATAATGTATTTATCAGCATATTTTATTTCAGGTCATTTATTCGCAAGTTGTGTGTATAGATTAATAGGCACTGCTTAGGTAACACAATCTATCTATGCTTTTTTTGTTTGTTTGTTTTTGAAACAGGGTTTCTCTGTATTATTTTGGAGGCTGTCCTGGAACTCACTCTGTAGACCAGGCTAGCCTCGAACTCACAGAGATCCGTCTGCCTCTGCCTCCCGAGTGCTGAGGTTAAAGGTGTGCGTCACCAACACCCGGCGTACCAATGTCTTAAATAAATAATGCACTTAGATGTTTACCGGCACTGGTCATGTGGATGGAATACTAAAGTTTTACATATGAACAAAGTGAGAAGAGCCTTGAGGATTGAACATTCTGAGGCTCACTTTTGCAGTCTTCCAATTTTCAAAATACCGATTGGTAAACAAAATACTCTTCATGTCCAATGCTTATGCCTTGATCTCAGGGACTAGTTTATTCGTGGAAGCATTTCTTCAGTTTAATGTATAGATCTCACTACCAAGTGTTTCCTCCCACCTCTTTATTTTTTTTTCATTATTTAGATTAGAGCACAGCATAAATGCTACTGTCCTGACAACTTGAAGTGTACAGTACAGTGTCAGCTATAACTGCCCCAGAGTTGTACAGCTTTCTGGGCCTTATGCATAAATAGTATAGCTTAACCTTCACTCCCTTTGACAAACACTTCTCCATCTCCAACCTCCAGCACCTGGAAACGGCCAAGCTCCTGTTCCTTTGAGTTTGCTCCTCCAGCTTCCTCATATAAGCAGTAGCTGGTGTTGGTCATTCTGTTTTACTCACTTCACTTGTCTTCTGAATGTATCCATATTGTCCTGAATTGCGGCTTTCTCTTTTAAGATGAGGAAGGATACCCGTAGACATCCTTCGGGCACGTTTAGGTTACTTCCATGTCTTCAGTGTGGAAAGTCAGGGTGCAGTGAACTGATGCTGGTGCTCATGCTGTGACCACACATGCCACTTTTCATAGTGGTTGTACCAGCTTACACTCCTACTGATAGTGTGTAAGGGTCCCTTTTCTCCACACACTTGCCGGTACTTTTTTTAAATAGCCATGAGTCTTCCTAACAATGTCCTTGAAAGTTTTATTAGAATTTCCTTGCTGAGTACTGGTGTTAAATTTCTTTTTCTATACCAATGGGCTGCTTTTCCAGTTTTTCCTTTGAGTTGTTTGAGTAGACACAGATGGATCCCTGAAGCCCATTAGCCAGACAGTCTAGCTGAGTAGACAGGCTTAGGTTTTAATAAAAATATGTATTTTGGAAGATTGAGAAAAACTTTAAAAATTACTTGGGTTCAATTTGTTGCAGTTCAGTTAATACTTATGGCATTGTAATCATTGTCGTAAGTCTAAGAATTTTACTTGTGTTACTTTTATAATTTTCTCATAATCTATCAAAGGAGATAATAGCTGTTGTCTTTGTTAGCTGAGGCACAAACAAATCATAGTAAATAATAAATTAAGAAGCTAGAATTTCTGACCAATGAGATAGCTCAGTATGTAAGGGATGCTTGCTGTGAAGCCTGATGACCTGAGTTCAAACCCATCTGGTGAAAGAAGAGAACAACTCCCTCAAGCTGTCTTCTTACTGCCACATGTGTGAGTGCATGCATACATGCAAATACACGAATAAATAAAACAGCTAGCATTTGAGCATATGGTGGGGTATGTAAGAAAATGGGCTTCAATTTCATTTTGCCCCCGACCCTTGTCCAGCTCACTGAGCTTCTAGTTACTGGAATGCGACACTATGAGGGAGCTGTGTTATTTTGAAAGCTCTTAAGCCAGTGGTGCAGAAATCGGGAGCTTCTTCTCTCTAGGGAATCATGTCTGCTTCAATCGCCCAGTGGCTCCTCTGCAGTTCCCGTGTTGACATTCCCCTGAACCTGAAAGGGGCTTGTGTCTTTCACGTCTTTATCCACAGCGTGCACAGTGCACACACCCAACTCAAGGAACTGAGGAAACAGCTAAGTTGTAGACTCAAGAGGCAAAAGAGACAAGTTTGGAGAGTAACTAGCCAGCCAGCTTCTGCCACAGATACCATGCAACCAAGAGGACTTTTTAAAAGTTAATTTAAACACTTCATAACCATGCCATCAGACTCTCCCTTTCAAAGTACTGATGTCAAAAACGACTTTTCGAGAGATACTTCAGACATGCAGAAACGTGATTTGCTCAGGAGCTGTCTGTCAGGAGGACTCCTGTGGCAGCTGGGTCTTTCAGGAGAGTGCTGTGGGACCATGGTGCATACTGTGTCACCTCTTGCTTTTGTGTCTGTGTTGCGTTGTTGCCCAGCACCGGCCCAGTGTGGTTCACTGTTGCCGTGCTCTGGTGTGCTGTCAACTGCGAGCCGGTTACTACTCAGTCTCCATTCACAAAGCTTGTCTGGTCTCCTTTTAAACAATTGCTGCCCATCTCTTGCCATTTATGTGTTTTTGTTTCGTTGCAAAACCGATTAGTAGTCTCTGATGCATTTAAGAATAGAAGTTATAATATTTTTATCTTTTCATCATAAAGAGAATTTTATTGTAATTCTGCAAAAGGATTAAGAGAATGAACACCCTTCCTACATTAACACATTGAACATGTCACTGCTCTAAAATTTGGACACTTTTTTCTTGCTGTGCTTGGCAGTACATGTGATTGTGTCACGTATGTTGCCCATTTTCTACCTCACCCTTTCCCATAAAATATGTTAATAAGTTAGCAATATTCCTGTATGTATGCCTTCTCAGTGTTCGCTTGTTGACGTAGCTCAGCTAAAATCCTTTGCAGCTCTCCTGTAGGCCAGTGGCACACAGCCTTTCTGCCCTTGGAGATCCAGGGCCCCTGTGGACAAGGGGAAATGCTTCAGGCGGGTCACATGATAAAAGGCAGGATTTTACCGTGACTTGTCTTCTGTGGAGAAAGTGACATAGTCATGCAGATGCTACTGAAAGCTGTTGTTCTGTAGTTAGGTTACCTTGCTGTCAGTCCTAACTTTCATTCATGAACCTCTTCAAACTTTTATAGTATAATATTTTGAATTTTCTTGTGATTTTTATTTATAGTACAATAATTTCCAGAATATTCTGTATCCTTGTTACATTTCAAAATTGCCTGCTCTAAATTCACCTCTATTCAATTTCTTGGTTAAGTTGAAAGATAATTTTGTAGGTCTAATATGACTGTATACTCACATCTCCATTGTACACTTAAGCAAAAAGTACTGTGAATTGGAAACATTTGGATCAGGATTGAAAGAAATGTTTAAAATAACTTAATTCTCCACAGATGGCCCATCCTTCAAAGAAACGGCAGGACCCAGCAGACAGATTTTACAAGGTATGATAAGCAATTGTGTGTTTCTTGATTTCATGAAACTGACTTCTCAGTTCTCAGTTGTCCAGAGTTCTTTAAAAAAAAATTAGTACTTGTTTGTAATTGGAGGTTTCCCTCCTGTCTGCCAGTTCATGGATAACCACTAATTACTTATAAATGCTTGACTGATGGCTCAGGCTTGTTATTAGCTAGCTCTTACATTTAAATTAACCCGTTTCTTTTTAAATCTATGTTTTGCCAGACAGTTCGTGGCTTGTTACTTTATTTATTTATTACATGTCTGGCTTCATTGTCTGGCTGGCATCTTCCTGACTCCATACTTCTTCATCCCCATCTTTAGTTTGATAGTATTGCCTACCCTTATTCTGCCTCGCCATTGGCCAAACAATTTTATTATCAACCAATGAAAACAACACATTCATAGCATACTGGATCCTACTAGAGCACTTAGTAATCATATTTGAAATGTTATCCTCCTAGGAAATGTGCACATCCACAAACACACACCCACACACACACAGTGTTGGGTATGTTAGTAATATTTATCACATAGCTGTTTTCTTAGATTCAATTTAAAACACAAAAACCTAGAAATTGGAAAACCCTGCTAAAGGTTAAGTACTAGGCTTGACTACAGTGACTCCAGGTATGACTACCTTCCTAAGATTATGACGGTTTTTCCAAGAATAATGTTCAATATGTTCTTAATGTGGGAAAATTTAGAGCTAAAAAGAAAATCCAGTGAGACCTTTGTCATATGTGAAGGCATCAATTAATGATATCTCAACAGGATCTTAATGTTGTATAAACAACATCAGCTGGAGAAAACCGATCTGTCTCTGAACTCTGCTGCTTTCCTTTGGGGACGCGAACCCCGGTCTTCCACAGTTTCCCCTGGACTACAGATTCCAGTTCCCTGCTTCTTGCTTTTTTTTTTTTTTTTTTTTTTTTTTTTTTTAATGTTAACTCTACTTGAATCTGGTTTTTGCAGTGGCTTTAGATCTAGCCTCTCCTGCATGTGTTTTCCTCAACTGTTTCTTGATCTAATTCTTACTTTTTATATTTCTCCATAGGGAAGATTTGTTTTCAAAGGGCTTAGGCTACCTTCTAGTCACCAACTTTCCATTTACAAAATATATGGAATTGCTTTAAAAACAGTCTTTTTACATTTTTTGATGCAACTGTATCAAGTTCCATCATTTAGTTTTGATAATTTATATTTAATTATGAAAAATCGTCTTTTTGCATCTTTTGTGCAAGCTATAATGAAAATGAGTTTCTATTTCTGAAATACATGAGTTTGTGGATCTCAAGACAGCCAGAAGGGAGCTGAAGGGCAGCTGTGGCTGCCTGGTGTAAAAGCTGTCCTGGTCAGCTGCTCTGCAGACATGCAGACGTCAGCACCTTGGGCTAATGCACTGTTCACCTGCTTGCTCGTCCTCGGTTTGGCTTCTGCTGTACCAAGTCAGAGGTATTAGATCATTGATGTGTTACAAGTCTGGCAAAATTGCAAGGTTTCAATTTTATGTGAGTTAAACATGCTTTTTATGTGCCTTTAGTGATTTGTTTTCATGAATAGTTACTATAAAATAGAGCAGATAATAATGTGTGCTAATACAATCCACTTTCTGCCTAGGAAATTACATGTAGGCAGGGACTTTCCAATCTTAGGAGAAGCAAGAACAAATTACTTCCCCCCCTTTTTTCATTGTTCAAACTGTTTTTTATTTCTGTTCCTACCAAAACTAATGGAAGACTATAAAAGTTTAAAAACGATGTTATCACATGTACACACACATCCACAGACAGGTGTAAAAATTTCTGCAGAGTAGTCTGCACTGATGAAAAGGAATAGGGCTTTGAGGACGGGGCTGGGGTGGGGGTGGGGGGGGAACTGCTGTGCCTGCTGTAAACTATACAAAAGACAGTCAACTCTGTTTTCCCAGCAAACATTAAGATTTAAAAGGGCTCTGTGGTCAGAGTTTAAGCTGCTACAAACTTTCCTTTAGTTTAGGTCTGCACATATTTACCTCTTATTGTTCAGGGAATCCAGTACAAATCTCTCAGCTGGTCACAGTCTGCCATGTAGAGTCAGTCGTTGAAGGCGCTAAGACTTAGGGTTTTTTTCTGAGCAAAGCACACTTAAGTTTAACGACTGTTTTGCTGTGTGGTAAGTTTTGCTCATTAAGGATCTATTTGTTGAGTGAGTTATTGTCTTAGGTGTTCTCAGAAAGAATTGTATATGCAATTTATTTCTTGAAATTTTTGTGCTTTCCCAGGCAAATGTCACTTAACTTAATAGTGTGTTTGAGTTCTAAAGCAGATAACTTACTTAGTACTTAATAGTAAAGGTTCAACATATATTTTCTTGTCATTTAAAAGTATTCAGATACCTGCTTTTTTTTGACAGGGCAAATTTGAACACAGTAACAAATTTAGGTAATGAAAACCTTTTGGATAATTAATATCAGATTAAGTAGTGATAGAGCCCATTTGAAATTCTAGTCCTAAGGCAATATTTTTAATCACCAGCAGAGGGCATTGTGTGTACATGTTTTCAGAATTAGCTTTCTTTCTTTTTTTTTTTTTTTTCCTTTTTTTTTTATTTTCCAGTTTAAATTTAGATAAGAAACGAGGTTGCTTCACAAGTCAGTTCCAGGTCCCTCTCCCATTCCCTCCCCTCCTCCGAGAATTAGCTTTCTTAACCAACTGTTTTTCCACCTGACGTCCTTTCCTTCCCCGAGCAAATTTTTTTTAAACTTTGTCCTTTTTAAAGTAAAGATGAATGTCATAAACATTGTTTAAAATTAATTTTCTGTACTCTTTCATTTGTATTTTTCTATTAAGATCAAGTACAATTATAATGTACCAGTTATATGTTTAAAGTGGCTGTTGTGAAACCAGTTGTCAATGCATAAGTATTCTGCTATGCAGTACTAAGCATTCAGTACTCTTCTTGGTTTTTCACATTGATATGTAATGTTTTATGTATGGAATTTTGAGTATAGTCCTAAGGAATATTCCTATTCACAGTGTTAATTTCGACGATGCTTTCTTTCTAGGTGTATTTTTGCACATTCTAGCAGATACACTTGGGAGTATTGGTGTAATTGCCTCTGCCATCATGATGCAAAATTTTGGGTTGATGATTGCAGATCCTATCTGTTCCATCCTTATAGCCATTCTTATAGTTGTAAGGTAAGTGGCATACTGTGTTATTATCTGTTACTAAAATGAGAGGGAGGCAATTCAACACTGCTTGATTAGAGATCTACAGTGCAGATTATCATGTGGGTTTTCCTTTGGTCTTTAAAGAAAATCCTGTCCAGATTCTCATTTTATCTTCATATTTTCATGCACTTTCCATTTATATCTTGCCTGGAGTTTTAATGTTTCTTTTTTGGTTTTTGACATTTAAGTCTTTGATCATAATTCAAATCTTAAATCATATACTATATCTATAGAAAAATATTGGTAATAGAAACTGTACTAACTAGAATATTACAGTTTATATTTAGATGTGACAATGTCAAACTCTAGTATCAGTGTTGCCTTTGCTAGAACTATCTTGGATTAGACAATTTCATTATTCTTTTTCTTACCTACCATGGTGCTAAGGCCTCATAAAGACATTGTATGTAGGGATGTTCTGTCTTGGTGACAGTTAGCTCTAGTGCCTAGTTCAGCTGATATTATTGTCACCTCAGACCCTTTGTCCTAAAACATACTTTATTGTTGGCTTCATTTTTATTTAAAAAATAGAAATAATATCCTATCTTGCAGCATTTATTTTTAAAATTTGCATAATATGCCTCAGTTGGAGTGTTATCATTTCTCCATAGCTCTGCTTTCAGTAGAAGCTCTTGTAATGAAAATGAAGACTGATGAGATGTGAGACTGTAATGATTGCTTATATAGCTCAGAGTTGACGAGGATCCATGCAATAGATTGCAGTGCTAAAGTTAGAAATGGTTGTTTTTCGATTTCTGCCCTAAAAATAGAATATTTATTTTAGCCATGCAGATTATTCTTTAATTATTTGCACACGGAAGCAGGTGGTGTATGGAAGCCTTTCTAAAGCTCAAAATGCCTTCCTTCATCTTTGGAGGTCTTAACCAAACTCTGTCCTGCTAGTATAGATGTGACACACTCCTGACAGGTCTGCTGTCGTCTACAACTCCCTGTCTTGGTGGTGGTGCCTTCGGTGGCATTTTGCTTTATTGTGTGTTGTAGTCTTCGTTACTCCAGTTGGTTTTTTAAGTTGATGATCTTAGTTTTCCCTTTGTTCTATCTCCATTTGTCACCTGAATTCTGCCCTGGTTTTCTTGGAAAACTATGATGGCCTCTTTGTGCTCCCTGTCTTCTACTTTTCATGCCGCAGTGACATTTCTTTGATGAGGATTATGTGACATACTGCAGTTATCTTGCTTTAAGTCCTTCTCCAACTCTATTTCAGAATAAAGTTCAAGATCCATAACAAAGTCCCCTGATACTGTTTAATCATCTTAGCCCCTCCCTACCTCCCCCCTTCCCTCCCAACTCACCTCAGTTCACTCCTTTTCCTGTGACACTCAGTTTCACTTTCCTAAATATATTATGAGCTTTCTGCTTTCCAATTCCTATTTCCTCCCTCCAACTCTTCATGCATTTAATGATACACCCTTTCCTGCAGCCTTACGTATATGTGTATCCCAACTCCACATCCTTCCTATGAAGCTTAAATCAAATAGCGCCCCCTTCTAGAAACATTTCCTGATTTGCCCCCCTAGCTGTGTGAAGTCCTTCCTTGTAGTGACTTCTCTAAAAGTTCCCTTCCAAGACATTTACCACACTGTCCAGAGTCTGCCTTATGTGCCTTTGCAGCTCTCTGAAGGCAAACTAATATCTTATTACTTTAAAGTGATCTTATGATTCTCCTGGCAAAGAAATTGGCACACTTCAGATTTGAGTCAGAACAACTTAGGCTTTTTTATCCTAAACAGTTACATTTTCTAGCTGGGCAGTGGTAGCACACACCTTTAAACCCAGGACTCTGGAGACAGAGGCCAGAGGATCTTTGTGAGTTTTAGGGCAACTGGTCTACAGAGCAAGTTCCAGGTCAGCCAGGGCTGTTACACAGAGAAGTCCTGTCTCAAAAACCAAAACAAAACAAAAAAGAGTTATATTTCCTAACTCCAAGCTGGAAATTCTTTCTTTGCTATGTTCTTATTCATTTATCCTACAAACAAAAATGAATAATAAATAAATGCATATATGCACACAACAAACTGATCTTGCCACAATGTCCAAAACATCTTTTTAATCTTTATAAACCATCTTCAACAAGTAGCTCTGAAACCCTTACTCTTTTGATCTCATCATGACACAGGGGAGCGGAAATCAAATCAATAGATTGATACTCCGCTATGAAATGAGTATTTATTGTGCAGCGCTAAGGGAGGATATCATGGTAGTCGCTGTCACCTGGGGTTGAATGATAAGGCAAGTCTTCAACTAAATGTCGTCAAGAGCTTTCCAGCCTAGAGACCAGCTGATAAAAAAAGGCACATGGTTAAAAACAGCTACCCTAAAGGAGGCCAGTGTGGCTGAAGCACGGGGAATAAGAGGAGAGTGGTTTGGGATGAAATTGAAGAAGTTTACCAGGGAAAATTACAGGGCTTGGAGGTCGGATTTAATTTCCAGCGCAGTGGGAAATCATGAGTGACCCTTGGTCCACATGTTTTGTTTTGTGGTGCTGGGGACGAAGCCAAAGCCTGTACTTGCTAGGCGAGCACTCATCATCACTCATCTAGATCCTCTTGCCCTGATTTGCATGTTTTTAATTTATTTTGGGTGCGTGAATGTTTTACCTGCGTGTATGTCTGTGTACCATGTGTATGCCTGGTGCCTTCTGGAGGTTTGAGATTTTGTAGGATACTCTGGAACTGTAATTTTAGATAGTTGTGAGCTGCAGGATAGGTGCTAGGAACTGGGTAGCAAATGACATTAGCCATAGAGCCGTCTCTCCAGCCTCCCGATTTGAGTTCTTAAAATAGTTGTTAGCTGGCCATGGTGGCCCCCTTAATCCCAGCACTTGGGAGGCTGAGGCAGGCAGATCTCTGTGAGTTTGAGGTCAGCTTGGTTTATATAGGAAGTTCCAGGCCAACCAGGGCTACACAGTGAGCTTCTGACTCCAGTAAATTAATTAACTGAGTAAAATGAAGTCAAAAAAGATAAAAAGAAAGAAACTTTTGAATGAGGCTGAGGTTGTAAGGGGTACAGGTAGCAAACAAGTCTAGGAGTTGCCATAATGGACCAGGAGAGAGGCCATAATAGCCGGGTCTAAACTAGCAATGGAGAGACCTGAATAAAGCCAGGAAATGGGGTAGAAGTAGTGAGATTTGCCCATGGATGTGGATGTGTGGTCACGGTTAAGCAAATGGGATGCGCGGCAATGCTTAGAGCCATGGCAGTGCTTCCCCGGCAGGGATGGAGGTGTTGCCGCCGAGAGGAGACTGGAAGAGTGGTGTTTTCCCTCCCTTTGGAAGGGTGCTGTAGATCAGGGGTGGTGTCTGCTCCTTGCTGGTGTGAGATGATGCCTTAGTTACTCACTCGGAGGCTCCCTCCCGGTAGGCAGTGGGTGTGTAGGTACAGGATTGCTGCCATCACTCGACTTACACAAAGGCGAGTTAAAATCGCAGAATAGTGGTCAGCTCGCAGCAGTGCCACCACTTCCCTAGAGATGTCACACAATCTATGGCTGTTCCCTCCTGACACTGCGTTAGCATCAGCTCCCTTTCACTACAGTGCTGCAAGCAGCCTCGCCCAGCCAATTGGTACAACTCCTTTTTATTTTTTATTTCTGTCCAAACACTTTTAGTGTCTATATACTTAGCATACTGAAAAAACGAAGGAAGATATCCTGATTATAATATGGCTAATTACTGAAATGTATGCTGTACCTATTGAAATGTGTCATAGTCTCACCTCTTTGAGACTATGGATAATTTCAGTGTTTCTGAAGGCCATTCAGCAAATGCTGTGATACCTACTTAGCGGGACAGTTGATCTCATAACAAATACCTTATCTCCATGGGGGAGCCAGCAAAGCAAATGGGTACACAAGTAGATAATAAGACATGCACAGTACGGTGCAGCAAAGCAGGAGGAAAGACACGAACACATTTCTCTAGAGGCCTTCCAAAGAAAGTGCTTTCAAAAGGAAGAAATAAGCAACCCCATCAAATGGTCTTAGGATGATACTTACACCAGACTCTGGGGAGAGTGGTGAGAATGAAAGCCTAGCATCAAGAGGCTGTGGGGGGAGGGGGGCAGTGGGGTAGCCATAGTCAGCTCCTTTCAAATCCTTTCACTATAAATGGGAAATGTGATTGCCTGGCAGCACCCAGGACCTACTTTGAGGTTTGTGGTCATGAATTTAGTATAAAAACAACTAGGATGGGTGTATATTTCCTCTAGTCTTATTTAGCTACTTAGTACACGTTATAGAATGATACAAAGGATTGGGTTTAATAGGTGTGCAGTTTTGTCAAATGAGTGCTACTGTGATGGGGGATAGGTAGAAATTATAATAGGGAGAAATTAACTGAATGTTTTAGCCATGTTCTGGAGTAGTCCCCCTGCTCAAGAGTCATTAACTAGTAGAAATCGTGTGTATGTGTGTTTGTGTGTGTGTGTGTGTGTGTGTGTGTGTGTGTGTGTAAGGAATAGAGGTGACAGCTAAGAAGCCACTTGCTCAACTCTTCAGTTACTGGAGGGGAATGACCAAGAATTCTGCCCTTGGTTAGACGATTGAATTATTTGATGGGCTTGGCCTTCAAGGGAGGGGTGGCGTGTGTGGTGGGAGGATGTGGGGTGCACAGAGAACTAAAAGTAGAAATAACAACCAAGGAGCCACCCCCAGCCTGTCTCCCCATAAGCCTACCTAAGAAGTTCTAAACTTTGTAACTACTTAGTGTTGTGTTTCCACTAAAACCAGTGGTTGGATGAGGAAGAAGGCCACACTCAGCCGTCAGGATATTAGGAAGTTCCATTCCACTCACAAGACTTACTTTCTAGTTTAGTATTGAGCCGGGCATGGTGATAGCACCTGTGATCCTAGTACCCGAGAGGCCAAGGGAGTAGATCTCAAGTTTAAGGACAGTGTGGGTTAGACAAGACATTGTCTCGAGGAACAGAAATATTTCTTTACTACCTCT